GGGAAGAGCACAATGATAATACCAACATGGGCCAGTGAAGCAACATCCTCCACAACTAGACTGAAGAACAAAAGGACAGCAACTTGTCTGTTTCCCTCCCTCAATTCCCCAATAAAAAAAAATCTTAAAAAAAAAAAATATATCAGTGTCATAAAAGTCTAACAAAGTCTGAGGAGCTGATTAAACGAGACTAAAAGAGATATGACAACTACATGCAATACGTGATCCTCCATTGATCCTGAATCTAAAACAAAACAAAAAATGCCAACACTTATAAAGGAAAGTATTGGGACAATTGGAGACACTTGAATACAACTATATATTAGATAACACTAGTACGCCAATGTTAAATTTCCTGAGTGTGATAATTATATTGTGGTTATGGGGGAGAATGCTGTTGCTCATAGAAGAGATATGCTGAAGTATTAAGAAATGAAGTATCATGATATCTGCAAATAATTCTCAATGGTTCAGGGAAAAAAAACCCTTAAATGGTTCACCAAAACACACATACGTGCGCATGTGTATGTATGTATGGAGAAAAAAATTTTACATATATGTGCATGCAGAGAGAAAAAAATGTGGCAAAATGTTAACAATTGATGAACCTAGGTGAATGATATATGTGTATTCATTACACTAGTCTTGTAACATTTCTCGGCTTAAAAAAATTTTTCTAAATAAAGAGTTGTTGAAAAGATCTTTTAAAAAGCAGTATCATGGATTCAGGATTATTTTAATAGCTTATTCTGATACATAATTCCCAGAATTTTTTATGGTAGCAGCTAACCTTTCTTCAAACGTTCTGATTTTATTACCCTCTTTTAGCTCTTCTTGTCTTTCCATTCACTGCCATCTTTCAAATAGAACCATCAATAGGTGTGTTACATGCACAAATACTGCAACAAATTCTGCATATGCCTAGCATGGACTAAAATTGTTTTTTCAAACAGAAGACTTCCCGCATAGGACCTCTTATAAATATATCATATATATATATATACACACACACACACATTTTATTTATATATATATATATATATCCTGTAAAGAACCTGCTTTTTTTTTTTAGGCTAACAGCTTATCAGTGCAATAGAAGGCATCCATGTATCTGGAATATAAGTTTTTATTTCCTTGGGATCTTTTTCTTACTGTCCTCCAATATGCTTCTAGTCCTAGATAAAAGAGGAGCAAGTATCTGAAAATAATTAAACTATTGCTTTATTTTATAAAGGACTAGAGAAAAATAGGTCCTGGATAACAAGTGATATTTGCAATTAGGAAGAAATATGCACTGTGAAATAAAGTGATTTGTGATAAATTTGTGTCCACATCAAGATTGACTATATTGAGATTATTTCTGTTCTACATTCCAATTATCTCGATATTAACCTTCGTGAAATACACAAGCAGAATATTGGGGCTTACGTCATAGTTGCTCCTGGATCAGCAGTCATTTGATTGGTCACAAACACAGCCACATTATATTCTGCATCAAGAAATAAAATTAAGAAACTCAGATAATGGCAATGTAAATATAAGAAATTCATTGTTTAGGAATCAGAGTTTAGGAATATTGTGCCATAAATTTATTTTACTAACAAGAGTATATTCCTATTTTTTCTTTGATAACATAATTCATTTAAAGTTATTATATTATTATTATTTAGATACCTTATTGTATTAGAATCGATAATTTTAAATCAATGATTTAAAAAAAGAGTGGTATTCCCATGAAGGTAATTTTATTTTTAAAAAATGTATTGCCTCCTGACATTCTGAGCTTCTCTGCAAAGTCTACTCAGCAGTCACAGATGCTATTCTGATAGTGCCATTTTATCTTTAAAAATTTACCTTCTGAGATTTTTTGGAGCCGTGATAACATCTGGGCCAGTTTTTGCTGTCGTTCTGCCAACTCCCCACGACCACTGAAATCCACTCGAAAAAGTGCCATTATCGAATCAATGATCTGCACAGTGTTAATGTAAAAATAAATATGATTTGGAAAGGAAGAAGTTAATTTGAATTGGAATCAATAGAAGAAAAATAATATATTAAATAGCTCTGTGAGTGAGCAATATTTCAAAGCTTGTACCAATAGCTTGAAAATGCCAGCTTCTTCATGGAACTTTGCTGCTACATAGTCAAGTAGCTCCATCTGATGTTCACCTGGTGGGAAATGCAGTGAGAAAATGCTTTCAAAGCTGGAAGAAGCAGAGGCTAAGATCATGTATGTCTTTGGGAGTTAGTCAAAAGAGAATCCTTGAAGGATTTTCTTAATTATTTATAACTTTATTAAATATGACTTCATATTCTGCCTTAGCATACATGCCAAATGTTACATTATCCAAAAAGAATGTGACTCTCCATTTCAAAGACAAAGAATAAGAAATAATTTGAGGGCATTTCAATATCTAAAAATTTACCAGATGATAAAATTTGTGGACTAACTAAATTAATTTGGAAAAAAGTAAAATAAAAAGACAAAACAGCGTTAAAATGTTTTAAGCATCAAATAGTGAGCCAGTGCCGCCAACCTTAAAACAGCCCAAGCATCCAAGTGCATGGGGCTCTTACTAGTATATGCACGAGCATAGAGGACATTGTCCAGTACTGCATCATGGTCCACATTGAAGCGATCAGCAATATCCCGGAGGCGATCTGGACGGCTGATGTGTGCCAAGATTAAGGAGCCAATAAATCAATTCCAAAAAAGTTTAGACAACAACTACAAAAAATAATATTGTAAATAAAACAACAGAGAGGCAAAACAATGAATCTGCAAAGGTACTCTGGAGGGTGCTAATAATCACTTCAAATATATACCAGATTTTATTTTTCATAAGTGCATCAATTAATGAATACTTTAGGTAGTGATAATGGCGACCAGAACGATGAGGGAGTAATACATTTAAATGTGAAGTGAGGGCCAGCTGAGTGGAGCACTGGTTAAGAGCTGGCTTAGGATGCCAGAGGGCCCCGGTTTGGATCCCACATATGAGAGCCAGTGACACTGCCCTCTACAGCTAAGATGCTGAACAACAGCTCAACTTGGAGCTGGGCTGCAACCCCTGCTGCACTGGGTTGCCATGGGCTACCGTGTGTAGCCAGCAACCAGCGTGTGTAGCCAGCAGCCAGCGTGAGCAGCCAGCAGCCGCAGTGAGCAACCATCCAGAAGCCTGAGACTGATCTGCCTCGCCCAGGAAGAGCGCAATGATGGTGCCAACTTGGGCCAGCGAAGCAACGTCCTCCACAACTAGACTGAAGAACAAAAACAACAGCAACTTGTCTGTTCCCCTTCCGCCAAGTCCCCAGCACTGTTCCCATCCTCCAATTCCCCAGTAAAAATCTTAAAATAAATAAATAAATAAATAAATAAATAAATGTCAAGTGATCTAATCTTTACAATAACCTTAGAAGTTAGTTGTTATGTCCTATATTACATTTTATAAATGCGGACACTGGCAAACAGAGATTAGGCAAATGACTCAGGATTATGCAGCAAATCAATTACAAAAGAAAACCTAGAAACTAAGATTTGTGAATCTCCTTTGTTCTCAGCTCTATAAAAATAGGTCTATTTTAGGAAGGTAATATCACTGAATTATAATTCAAGTCACTTCAAAGTGAATTAATTCACTCTCTTCATATTCCTCCTTGTTCAATATGAAATAGTTCAATATACCATTAATCATGTGTTGCCAATGAATGATAAATTTGACTACATGAACCAAAGGGTCAGAAAAGTAACTTTAAGGGTCAGAAGGGAATTATAAACCTATGTTTTTTGGCTTATTTGGGGTTTAAAATCCATCTTCTCCTAAAGGAGTTGTATTATTAATAGTTTTCTGAAATTAGTAAATTCATAGGAAGGCAAAGTCGGTGTACCTGCAAAGGTGTTCTGGAAGATGCTAATAATCACTTAATCTAAACTATAAAGGAATAAAAACATTTTTAGGTCTTTGGTGATCCCAACAATATGTCTACAGTATATTCTCTACAGTGAAGTGAAACAAAACGCATGTCTATGGTCTCATTTCACTTTGTGTTTGTATATTACTGATCATACTGTAAGTAACTACAAAGCAAAGACCATTTCTAATCTTATTTGTGGCACTTGCAACTAGTTTAGTAAATGTTAAATTGCATTGTCTTTAGACTTTCCCAGCCATCTATATCCTAATGCACTATATATATTCTTTTCTTCAGAGCTTCAGTGACAGCCACTAAAATCTTCCATTGCTACTGAGTATACCCAGTAGATGTTTTTGGTGGACAAGTCAAAGACAAGGAATTAGAAGAGGCAAGTAAAAATATTTTTCACCATGTCAGTTTTTACAAAACTTGGTTACTATGTGATCAGAAGTATAAAGGTTGGGCTTATGCTGAAGGGAAGTTCAGATCAATTTATAAATGTTTATTAGCTGAATTATCACATGGAATCAATTATCATACGTGTATTAATCATTTACCAATGCAAGGCATTGTGGAAGATATAAGGAGTCATAAGACAATCCATGCCATAGGTAAGCATAAAACACAATTAAGTAGGCAAAATATATAAAAAGAAAAATTCAAGAAAGAGCAGTATATGTGTAACACAATGAAAGAATGAGAACATTTTCCTGGGTCCCTCGCGTGTCCTTGTTCCTCCCTACTCCCTCTTGTATATGAATTGGCTGACTGTTCCTCTCTACCATTCTTGATAAAATCCAAATTCCCCAAACAGTGACTGATAATCTATAAGAACAATTCCTCCCTCTCTTGAGAACCATCCGTCAACAGCTATTTCTGAAACTGGCTCAACTCCAGCTGAGCTCCTCTTGCTATATATAACCCTGTACAACATTTCACTGTCCTTCCTCAAGTTAGAAGTTTCCTTCCAAGTCTTCTCATGCCTAGTATGTCCAAATAAGGTCTTCTGCAAACTGTTCTCTGACTGTTTTTTCTTTAGCTAGAGTGATTTGGATAGTAAATTCTGTAACAGATCAAGGAGGACAAGGTTTTTTAAGGTGGGCAATTAGAGAAGATTAGAAAAGGCAGGCCTTCAAATGAGAGCCCTAGAGGATTTGTATGACTCAGAAAGACTGAGATAGGGATAGAGGAAACAAATACCCAACAGGATAGAAATATACCATGCAAATTTGTCTATGACTGGCCAAATTAACATTCAAGAGTGAGAACAAAATAAAGGCATTTTCAGGCATGCCAGGGCTCAAAGTTTACCATCTGGATTACTTTTCTGAAAGAAAAAAAAATGACTTGAGTAGGTACTCCAACAAAACAAAAATACAGGAAAGAAGATGATTTGGGATTCAAGAAACTATAATGAATAAAGAAAACGAGAATCTTATAGTTAAGTCCAAATAATTGCTGACATACAATGTTTTTAAATTTTAATAGCAAAGCATGTTTTCTAAGTAGTAAGATTGGGCCAGAAGACTAATCTGTGTCTAATAGTGGCAATAATGAGTAACGAGTTTAGGGAGCTAGGCTGGGGCTTCATTGTGAATGACTTTATGAACTTGTGCAGGTCTCCCTCCCTATTGTCAGTAATTTCCTCTGAACCAAATGCCTCCTCAAATCACTGTATTTCTTCTTCTATCCATTAGTTAACAACACTGCCTCAGCTCCTTACTGTTTATTGGCAACAAGCTTCCATCATCTCACTTTACTGCAAATGCCCTCTTGGACTCCTAACTTCACACCTCAGTGATCTTTCTCAGTTTTCACCCTCAGTCTGTCTGTAGTCTCTCTCTTCGCAGAACATTGCTGATTACCCTTTTCTTCTTGAAACTCTCCTTTTGCTCACTTTCCACAACCAGATTTCCTCCTAATCCCTCTGTCTATGGGTTCCTCTTTTTAGTCCTTCTTTCTAAACACTGGCATGCCCCAAAGTTATGTTCTCAGCTCTCCTCTCTTCTCTCTAAGTTCCTCACCTCCTTGGCTATTCCACCATATTTCTTGCCCTACCCCTTTCTCAAGCTGAGCCCAACATTTCCAACTGCCATATGGATGTCTTCCTGTACCTCATTTTTAACACATTAAAATGAAACATCACCTTTTCTCTGAAGCATGATCTTCCTAATTCTGTTATTAGCATTATTATTCCCCCAGTATCTAGACAAAAAACTTGAGTGGTTTCTCAAACCTCTCTTTTCTTTGTCTACCAAATAAAGTCATCAAGTCCTAACAATTTTCCTCCCTAATATTTTTTGTCCTTTTCTTTTTATCCCTACTGCTTCCAATCTAGATCAAGTTCTCATTACTTGCCTAGGATATTTGTAAAAGTATCTAATTTACACACATCATCTGGTGTTAAAGCCCTTCACGTCTAAGACCCAAATCACCTTATCAGCCTTGCATTCTGAAATACCTTACTTACACTTCAATTAAACTGCAATTCTTTCTGTTACCCAAACAAGTTCTGCCCTTTTCCCTTCTGTGCTTTTGTTCTTTTCATACTTTTTCCTTTATTTTGGACCATGACTTTGAGTAAGTCAATAATCTTCTTTCTAACTTTAAGTAAAATCTTTGGAGATTAACGAGTAAAATAGTTTCCTCTCATGTATTTGTTTTGTACATTTCACACCAAATCCATAAATCCATTCAGAGAAACAAAACCTTTTAAAATAAAAGTGCTTTGAGAACTCATTGTTTTCCCCTTGGCTTTTCTTGTTATTGCTGGTTTACGGGATGATTATAAAAATAATGTATTTCAAACAAATTCTCTTTTATAGTAACATTACTATATCACACTACTATGTTAGCAGCTTGTTTAAATAAAAAGGTTACAAAGTATTTTCTGTATCAATGAAGATCACCTTTCCTCCTGAGTAGCCACTGGCTCCTGGAAGTTGAGCTGTCACTAGGAAGCAATTAAAAGTTAATTAATATTAATAGGAGTGAATAAACTTTGTACAAATCAATGTATAAATTAACATGGGATTTATACTGGTTGCAACTCTTTAGTCAATCTAACAATGAATCATCATCCTTTAGTTTCTAAATAGCATGTTATATTTTATGTTATTAACCAATGGCAACATTGTAAGTACTTTGATAGCATAGTAGTAATTTAACAAAGAATGTCAGTATCTCTCACAATGAGAGCTATTCATGAAAGTTAGCTCTTCTGAAAAACAGAGGTCGAATTTAAATATTACTTTCTTTATATAAGAAATTATCACAAATATAATTTATGCTGTGTAACTTGTTTAAGTAAACTTTGGTGAATGTATAGCAAATTTTAAAATTCATTTTCTTTATATGTAATAGTTGTTCACACTAAGGAATTACTTTATATTAGGTACATGCATATCTCCTTTCTTTTTCAAAACAACACTAAATTTGGCACTATCATTATTCCTATTTTACTGATGGGGAAAATTTAAAAAGTGAAGAGCAATGTGCCTAGGTCACACAGCTATTAATGGTAGGGCCAAGACTGGAGCCAGGTATTTTGATTCCAGAATCCCTTTCTTAACCACTTTTTTTCTTAACCACTTTGCCATGCTCCTTCTACTTAGGTCAAAGAAATGCAGAGTAATATCTTTGTGCAAAAGGAGGTCTTTACTTTGTTTTAGAAAACTTTGTTTTTAAGTCTTTCTATGGGTCAACCTTACTCCATGGAAAATAAGGAATTCTAGGCCTCAATAGATTTGTGACATTCTTGTTGATAGGACATAGAAAATATGGAATAGGAAAAACTGAGACAGTGAATTCCTCTTCCCACTTACACACTCTAACACCCATTTACATCATCCCTATTTCCATTCAGGTGTTCAGAGAACAGCACATCGCCTCAAGCATCACACATTCAAAGACCTACTCTGGTATCTGTGTAACCATGGGCAGTCTACTTAACCTGAGATTTAGTTTCTTTGTAAATTTGTTCAGATTATATGCGATTATATAAACCAGACACAAAGTAGGTTAGTAAGTGATAGCTATGATTATTAATGTTATTATTATTGTTGCTATGTATCCTTACCACAGAGGGTATGAGAAAGCTGGGTTTTTCCAGTACGAAATTCTGAAATATAGAAAAAAAAACCAAACCCACACAGTAAATTTTAGATCTTTTCATAAAGAATAAAATATGTTCTCAGAGTATGGTTTTCTTTTCCAATTGTCAAATCTTACACATGAAGTACCACCACGTCATGAATGGATTCTATATGTATGAATACCAGTAGTAAAAATAACTTTTTAAAGTTATTTTTTCACAGAACTGTCCTTTAGATAAAAATTAAGTTAAACCAAGTTCTCCTTAGGAATAGTCATATAAATGAGAGTTTAAGATCCTCCCATAGGAAGGAGAGCCTGAGGTTCTCCCACTGAACTGAGATCTTCAAAGGGGAGCTGACGTGGTCTCCAACTGGTGACATGCCCTCACTAGCAACAAAAGCAAATTCTCTCTGGGGGAAAACTTGCACACTCACCAGTTTAGGCCCACTGAACTCCCACAGATTAAAATCAAGCAATAAACTCACAAATATCAATAAATACACAAGACAATAGCCACTAAGACCGAGAGTCAACAGAAATAACAACCAGATTTATTTCTCCAAATCAACAGAAACATCAACAACAAAACAACAGATTTAGTTTCCTGAAGATGGCAAATACTGAAATTGTCAGGCACAGTGTATAATAGTTATACACGAATTGTTTTGAAGAAAAATAAAGGATATAAACTGGGAAGAAAAAATCTCCTCTCCTTGTTCATGGAACATGCATTTCCTAGAAATAAGATCTGTCTCATTCTTAAACTACCTTTTAAAGGAATGAGAGAAAAAAATTCTAATCTCTTCTATAGGAGTCAAAGATAAAAAGATGAAAAATGCCAATAAGATCCATCTGTTAATGTAGTAATATATTTTAAAGGCAGCCTATATTATGATAACTGAGATTTCATTGTAAGTCCCAAAATAGATACAATTAAGTATTGGTTATTTATTTAATTATATATGCATATGTTTGTATATATGTGTATATGTATAATTTTTTCATATAACAAAATATTAAGGTTCTGTTTACCTCCAAAAGCTTCTGTGATCGCCATGCTTTCAATTCCACCTCCTAGCAACTTACTGGAAATAAAAAGTAAGCATTAATAACAGGAACAGAAATAGAGACATCAAGAAAGAAAGTGTTAATATCATTAATATCATTTCTTTCTATATCTAACTATCCATCCATCCAACACGAACAGCAATTCTGGGCTGAACAAATGGCACTCCACCTGTTTAGATCACAGGTTCTACTGTGTATGAGCCAGTGGAGCAACAAAACAACTTGTAAGCCCTGCTGTTCTTACTTCTGGGTACCAGTAGGAAATGGGCAATATAGGCCTTACGTTTAGGTTCTGTTCTTTAGATCTGAGTTGGAGTTTGAATAAATGGTCTTATTATTAGCTGAGCTTTTCATTTTGCGCTGTTTTTAAAAGTCAACTGAATATTCAATTTTTAAAAATATACTGAGAAATGTGAAAAATAGATATTAGAAGAAAGGAAATGAAAAATTTAACTAATTTTAAAAATTATTTGTAGATTAATACAGGTTGATTCAGAAACTATATTTTGGGTCTGAATTTCTTTTTTTTTGGGGGGGGGTCTGAATTTCTTGTAAGAAATTTAATCCTGTTTCTACAAGTAGTTTTGAATTTACTTGCTTCAGGTGCCTTTGGAAGAAAAAAAAAACGACTTCAAAAGAAGCTATTAGTCGGAAAAAGACAAATACCATATGATTTCACTTATATGTGGAATCTAAAAACTGAATGAATGAGCAAAGTAAACAGAAGTGGTCTCAGAGATATAGAGGAACAACTGATGGCTGCTAGTTGGGAGGGGGTGGGGATGAGGGAGACGGGAAAGGGATTAGACAGCACAAATACGTAACTACAATATTGTCAGAGGGACATGAAAGACAGTTCGAGGAATATAATTAATAATATTGTAAATATTTTGTAGGGTGTCAGATGGTCACATATCTTGCTAGGGAGACCGCATGATGCATCATGGGGTAGAGGCTTGATCACTGCACTGTACACCTGAAGCTGATGTTGTATAATATTGTATGTCAACCATAAGAATATATATATATATATATATATATATATATATATATA